ATTTTTTTTTCACTCATTCAATCAACAAAAATTTACTGTGCACCTGCTATAAGCTAGGAACTGTTTAAGCACCCATAAGCTATGATCACAATGGGTGAAGGTTTCTTTTACAAAGATTTGCCAGTTGATATGTACAAAGAGAGACACTGATCTATAAAGGGCCTGATCAAACCCTTAGCACATATACCAACGGTATATAAGAATTTAGTGCAAAGATCATGCTGTAATGGGGTACAAAACAAATACAGAAAGTCAAACCCCCTGCATGAGGAGCTATAGTCTAAAAGCAGACACAGAAAATCATGAATAACAGAATTATTTACACATTAGAGAAAGAGTGGTCTGAGGGGAAAACAGCAAGAACATGGGAGAATGCGAAGGAAGCGGCGGTAGAGATACAGTGCTAGAGACCCAAGCATGGGAAACAAGGAGACTACGCCTTACCCTCAAGAAAGCCGAGCCAAGGAGAAAAACCAGGAACACAAGGGGTTTGGATGATTGGTGCGAATGTTAAGATCTGCTGCACATACATAGCCAGGTAAGGCTTTCCTGAGAAAGGACTCAAGTAAGAGAAAGGACCAGAGGAAAGACCTGAAGGCGGTAACTGCAGCATCTGCTAAGGCACGTGGAGGGAACAGCATGCCAGGCAGAGGGAGGGAGACGCCTGAAATGGGCACATAACTGCAGGTCTGGGAGGTGAAGCAGACCAGGATGCCTGGGCGGGACAGCCAGGGGACAGTAGAGGAGAGAAGGTTAGGGACACAGGGAGTGGGATCAGACGGACCAGACGGATTGGACCAAGAAGTCTACTTGTCACTCTGCCACACTGGTTCAGCAGAAGGACTCCGGCCGCTGTTGGAGGACTGACCGTGGGGACAAGGGCAGAAGCGGGGAGAGCAGTTAGGAAGCTATTTCGAGAAAGAAGTTAAGAGATGACAATGGCTTGTATAAGACACCGTGCTGGAAGGGTGCTGACAAGTGGCAGAATTCTGGATCATGTTGAGGGAAGAATATACAGGATTTGCTAATGAACCATTTCTGGGGTGTGAATGGTACAGTCAAGAATGACCTGGGGGTTTTGACCCAAGCAACTGAAAAGGAGCTGCCATTTACTGAGATGGAGGACAGCAGAGGCTGGCAAATTATGGCCCATGGGACATATACGGTCTTCGTCTCATTTTTGTACAACTGGGAGTAAAGAATCACTTTTACCTTTTTCCAGGTCTGCAAAAACAAAACAGAACAGAACCACAAAGAATACGCAGCAGAAGCCATATGTGGCACTCATAACCTGAAATTTATCATCTCTGTAGGGAATGGCGACTGCCGGGCAGCAGAAGATGCCGGTGTGGGAAGATGAGGGGCTGAGGGTTGCGCGTGCTGAGTCTGAGGTCCTTCTAGACATCCAGCTGCAGGCGCAGGGCTCAGTGGGCTCAGCAGAGAGGGAGGGCGGGAACCAGAAGTTGGGAAGCCTTCCATATAAATGATATGTAAATCCTTAAGACTGCGGAGATCCCCGGGGTGTGAGTGTAGGAAGAAGAGTGGAATTCTGTGGCCTTCCAAGATGCAGCGATCAGAGCCAAGGGGGCATCAGTGACAGGGACTGAGGAACAGCAGCCAGAAGAGCGAGGGAAAATCCAGGAGAGCAGGGTTGCATCCTCTGTCATTTGACCCTTAAACCCTTAGGCAAAGTGGGTATAATTATTCCCATTTTACTGACAAGGAAACCAAGGCTCAGAGAATTAATCTGACCGACAACATCTTAGTAGACAGCAGCGGGTGAGACTCAGTCCTCTCCAGTTCTACCTACATGGCTTCTCTGTGGAACAACTTATAGAATTATCACTGATAAAATAATATACACTGAAAACCAAATCGTTTCAGGCAGACTTTAAAGCAATGTTTCTTCTAAATTAAGAACTAATTCTATGGTTACAGGCTGAGGGCTTCATCAAGGCAACCAAGTCCCTTCCGTAAGAAGAGCACATTCCCACAGGAGTTCAAAGCAAGCTTCAGACATTGACAATGGCTCACAGGGCCATCCCTGAGATGTCCTTCTTTCAAGGAGGGGAAGACACTGTTCTTAATTTGACTGAGCAATTCCGAAGTGTATCCAAAGGAATAATAATTAAGTGAGAAAAACTATGACATGTCACTTAAAAAAGGACAAAAAAGGAATAACATGTGTTGCATAATAATATTATAGTTTTCAAAACAGTCTTACAAAACAATGTGCTAGAACAAAGATCATTGAAACAGACCAAAATCTCGTAATCCATCCAACATCTTGAAAAATTCTAGCATTTCAAAATAAAAGGACTGATTTCTCTGTAATATGCTGAGTCAATTGATAACTGTTTAGAAACAAAGGAAGATTCCTATCGCACTCCAGACTCCTAAATAAATTTCAGGAATACTAAATTTCATATATGTTACAAACCCATAAAATGAAAGTTGAAGAAAAAGAAAAGACTTTTCCCATAATATGTGGAAGGTTTCTTTTACTATAGAGAAATCAGAGAGGAAAAAAACAAAGTGAAAGATTGACAAATTTAAATATGTAAAGTTACTTAACTTCTGCATATGAAATGATACAGTAGTTGGAGGTAATGATAAATTGAGGGAAATATTTGCATATGACAAACCTCTGAGACGCAAAGGCTTTGAGAAATCAACAAAATAATAGTACAGAAAATGGACAAGAGATGTGACTAAACTTTCTTCAAAGTTTTTTTAAAGTTGAAAAATGGGAAGAATAGCCTATAGTTTGATTAAAGTTACATAGGAAGTCCTCGATGGAGTCAGAAGAACTGGTCTATGGCACAGCACCCCACTCAAGAGCTGGCCTTTGAGAAAACATGAGATTACAGTGAGTGTTAAAGGGGAAACATGGAAAAGTCCCGGCAGCCCTAGGGAACAAGTGACCTTCTCAGTCAGACTCGGTAAACCCATGCCGGGCCTTCTGTTCCATATCTTTGGCCCTGCATTGCACTTGCTTCCTAGAATTACTGAGCATTAGGGCTAAGAGAGACCCCGAAAATGTTAAGGTCTCAGGTTCTCATGCTGCAGCTTTATAAAACTGAGGCCCACGGGGATGACATGACTTCACAAATACTCACCCTCCCAAAAATGTCAAGGAAAAGAGAAAATGAAGAGAAACAATGCCAATTTCCCATTTTATTAGAAAATATTTCATAAGGTTTGCAAGACCTTTCCTTTTTGAGAAGGTTATATCATCATGCTGACCACACGCACATAGATGCACATACATCGGAATTCCCCTTCCTGCTAAAGAGCTCTGGGAAGCAAGTGAAGTGACAGGATGGGCTGAGGCTGTCACTGTGATGCCTGCCATGCTGCTGTTACCTACACCAACCCATTCTTCTATTCCTGAGCACAGTAGGTCCACAGCCCCTGCTCTGACATGCATCCCACCTCCTCGAAGCCTTTCAGCACAGATCCCAATCTTGGAGCTGGACATGAGGCCGCAGTACCCCTCCCAGGCCCTGTGAGTGCCCTCTGGACACTGCCACCCCAGCCTGGTGAACACTCCAGGCCGCCCTGGCTCCGCAGACGGCTGCTTTTCATTATGGGCATTGCACTATCAGGGATTTCAGTGAATAATGATAGCCAAGAAATACCAACAAGGTTTACTGTCTGTGGAGGTGTAGCATTTATAAATAATTATGTGACGTAATGCTTTCACTACTCAGGATATGACTGCTTTACTGTCACTGTATTTTTAATTATTTTGATTACGAATTTTTAAATTTACAGCATACTACTTAAGTATGAAAAGTTAGGCTCTGGCTTTTCTTCAGCCTTAGGCAAACCCTCCATCCTTAATTCTGATGAATCCCAGCTAAGCATTTGGTCTCTCTATTGAGTCCCTCACACTCAACCAAATGTGCGTACAACAGGACAGATTACCCGGAATATTCCTAAAATAAAAGTAGGACCTACTGGTTATATCATCCTCTAATTTGGAAATCAAAAATGTTGAAATCACTTTAATTTTTACAGTGAACTTCAGTTTTTGTATATAATTGTGCTATAATAATAATGTTTATTAGTAATTACACTACATAGAATATTCATAAGACTCATGCAATTGGGGTTTTAAAGGAAAATTTTAAGTGTTTAAGGTCTTAATGGTTTGACTGCCTGTCTTTCTAAAACAATTCTGCCTTCTTTCCCTCCATCCAGCCCCCCTCAGGGAGACTTTCCTGGCCACTGTGACCACCGCCCACTGCCCCTCCCACCCACCATGACTCACACCCTCCTCCCCAGAGCACCCAAGCTCCCTTCCATCACAGCACCTACCTTGACCATGGCCTGCATGCTTCTCTTCCTCCCCACTGGACTATAAACTCCTTGAAGGCAGGAACTGCTCCTTATTGACCCTGTACCCCCAGGCACGGCTGGCACATAGTAAGAACTCGATCAATGGTTCTTAACGAATGAATGAAATTAGAAATCCACTTAAGTGTACTTTATCAAGGTCAAATCTGTCCAAATATCGTTTGTATCGTTTGTATTTTAGACTGAGCCTCATTTTGGACTGAATACAGAAACCCTGAGGTAGCTGGGATGACAAGGGTAACCACTTAAAACATCAGGTCAGGTCTGATCACGGTTGCCCCTCAAGATCCTCAGGCTCAGGTGGGGATGCAGGGATGAAGAGGATCTAAACTTCAAGATCAAGGCCTCCTGAGGATGCTTCATGCCCTAAAGCTGCATCCCCTCCATGTCCGCACCCCCCCCCACACACACGTGTACACACACCACATACATGCACACACATGCAGTGAGTGTTTACCAAGCACTGGTGCAGGTCAGGCACGGCTCCAGCACTGAGCACAGGGCAGTGAGAAAGCAGGCGAGGTCCCTCCCCTTTTCAGAATGGAAATTTTAAAAGACATATGCTCTTTCCTGCCTGCAGATACATCATAGCTTCTGCTGGAAGGGGAAAAAAACTCACTATGGAGTCATTTGCTTACCATCAGCAGTGTGAAGGAGCTTGTGACTTTTCAATGTCCCTTTTGATTTAAATTTCTTGCCACACATGTCACATAGGTGGGTTTTCTCAGTGCTATGACGATTCATGTGAGCCTTGAGGTTACTCTTGCTGCGAGTTGCATACTCACACAGAGAACATTTGAATGGTTTTATACCTACCAAGGAGGAAGAAAAAATATACACAAGCACATATAGATATATTTATTTATAAACGTTCGCGTTTCTGTGTATGTATCCGAAGGCTATAATATACATGTCCATTTTGAATTAAGCACTGCTTGTCCCTCAGCGTGCTGCACCCTTCCCCACAGTCCCACACTGTGCTTACTCATGCTGTTCCTTCCAACAGGGCTGCCCTTTCTCCCTGGTCTGCCAGGGCCTGCACTCTGCAGCTTTCTCTGACTTCCCCAAGTAGGTCTCCTTGCTTCCCTACCAATGTTCCCACATTCAGGAGCTCTCTACTAGCTTTACTGTCCACAGCACATTACCACGAGTTGTTCACGCCCGGCTCCCCGAGTCGGGGAGCTCCTTGAGGACACGGGTCCTGAACAGTGTGTGCAGCACACATTCATTAAATTCAACTGAAGTTAAACTGACTGAAATTTAAGTAACCAAGGGCCTTTGCAAAAACCAATGGGCTCAGACACTCAGGATCAAATGTCAAAGCATATTTACTTCATAGAATAACAAGGGAATTGCAACACTAGCTGTTGTTGGGCTAATGGCTTGGACTCTGGGTGAAGCTTGGCATTCAACTACTGTTCCTTTGTTCAGCAAACATCTACTGAGGACCTACTTGGTAGTAAACCCTGTGGGTTGGTTTGAAGCTGAGAAGCCCTGGCGCCTAGCTGCACCAACCAGAGGGAAATGCAACAAGCAAAAAGGCTGGTACAACCTAGTGTGACATGCCAAGGGGCGGAAGCTGTGCCAAACCTGAACACAGGGGTGTAGCAGAGAAGTTTTAGCCCAGCCTTCTTTTCCCTCATCCATAGCACTTAAGACTCTGAGCAGAGGAAACCGAGGCTGTAACAAGGCTGTGGGATGTGCCCAGGGCATAGGGCTGAGGTCCATTCATGCTGGTAAATGAAAAAGTATCTCCCAAAACAGGGCATTTTTATCCTGTATTGTAGAAAACACGTAATCCTTCATTCCCTTTAGGATTTGCCTTGTGTCCCTCCTGCAGCATTCCAGGTTCCTAACTCAGGAAGGGTCTAGAAGGGCTCTCCCTGGCCCCTGGCTCCAAGCCTCATCCTCGGGAGAGCCACATCCGCGCCCAGGGGGAGAAAACAAAGCAGGTGGCCTGCTGCCTCTACAGTTCCCTGACCTCCAGCTTCCCAAAGTCCTAGAGGGCGCCCTCCAAGCACCCTGTCACAGGGAAACAGCCCAAGGCACAGCCTACATGCCTCCTCCCATGACTTCACCTCCACACAGCTCTTCCCCCTTCTGGATTCTCTTCCACAAAGCGAAAGATAGTGCCTCACACTGCTGGGATCCCTGGACTCTGCTGTCCTTGCCTCCGTCATTCATTTATAATACCAACACCTCCTCAACCTGCCATGTGCAGGGCACCGCAGGGGACACCGGAGCTCCTGCTGGGCTAAGACGGCTCCCTTCCTGTTCTCCCAAAGCCTGCTTTCTGGCGCAGTCATGGTGCTTTACTACAGGTCTACCAAGAGCTATGAGGAATTGCAGACCTGTGCTCACTGCAACTGAAGCTAAATAATTAATGATTTAAATCATCAATCTTAGCTGGTTGATGGACACATTTCTCAGTATGCCAAAGAAACTGTAACTGCAGGGGATGCAAAGATATGGCTTCCTCCTAATGCGCTCCCAGATAAAGCATGGAAGCACAAAATTAAAGGGTGCTCCCTCTTGAAAGACGAATACTCACCTTCATGAGCCCAAATATGGCGCTGAAGGTCTGAGCCATTCTTCATGAAATAGAAATCACAATACGGGCACTTCATGGCTCTCTTTCCAATCAGCCCTTTCAGCTGAACCCTCCTCCCAAGAACCTCAGAAATGGTGCTCATGGAGACCTCTAGGAGAAAAGCGAGAGGCCCATCAACAGCGGCCAGGGGGGCCCTGGTTCCCGTTAGACATAAGTGAACCTGGGACAGCATCTGAGCCCACGGGCCAGTCCCGGCGGCACTAAGGTGGCAAATACGGGTATGTCTGAAACATACGTCAACCAGAATTCAATCAAGCCTCAGATCTAAATACCGGTTAACATAAAATGTGACGGATGGAGAAACAGTGTCATGAGGCAACAGTCAGAGAGACAAATGCAGAATATGAAGCCTCTGCAGGAAAAGCCACCAAGTCTCCCCAACAAATCAGTGTCATGGGGAAAAAGCAGGGGTGGGGTGCCCCGGAAAATACAAGAAACTTAAGTGACATGAAAACTACAAGCAAAATGCTTAGGTCTTGATTCAAGCTAAAAAAAGTCTGTGTCATTTGGGGAGCTTCTAAGTGGACTAATACTAAGTGGTAATAAATTACTGTTAATTCTGTTTGTTTTAATGGTTTTATGGTGGTTATGTTGAAAAAAAGCCTTATTAGTTGGTGATACATTCTAAAGGTTATTTATGGAATATTATACATGTCTGGGACATACTTTAAAATAGACTAGAAAAACAATTTGGGGAGCAGATACATGAAACAAGTTTGGCAAGATGCAGATAAATGTGGAAGCTGAGTTACAGATATTGGAGGGTTCCTTATGTATTCCATTTTGTACATATTTGGACTTTTTCCATAATAAAAAGTTTAAAGACAAAAGAAGACCTTACATGTATGTTCATGAGTAAGGGCTGGCTGGTGGGACATGGCCTAACATGGGAAGGGCAAAGCTGAGCAGTCAGAGAACAGCCACGTGCTCCTGCCCAGACGAAGGCCTCAAGGCTCCACCAGTTCCCAGATAAACATGAGGCTAGTGCAGTCCCGTTACATCTTCATTTTCCCCCATTATCATCTAAAACCAGTGAGTCAGTTCCTATTACCAGGAGCAGATTCCAAAAAAGAGAAAGAAGAGGGGCAAGGATGCAGGGCAGGGCGCACTCCACCTACTGTCACACGCTGATTCCGCACCCAGGACTGAGCCTGAGCTCTTCGGGCTGCCGGGTGAGGCGCTTGCAGCAGCAGCCCTGCCACTGATTGAGAAGCAGGGGCAGGGCACCGCTAGGGGCCACCAAGGCCTCCCAGGGGGTAGCTCTCATGGAGAATGTGCCAATAAACAGGAATTAACTAGGAAGAATGGAGGACACACACCCCAGGTGGTATGAACAGAAGTGACGAGGCATGAACGCAGCTCATGCCTCAAGATCTAAGTGGCCTGGGAGGGAGCCCACCCAGCCCACCCCCTTCATAAACCACCACAGAGGCAACAACCTTGCAAAGGGGGTGGGCACAGCCTCTGCAGGTGAATCTGTGCTATCCCTGCCTTGTAAGTGACCCTCTAAAGACATTCAAACTTAGTATGAAAAAAGGAGAGGGATCCAGAGAGTATGGAGAGATGTACCTGCAGACCAGGTAAAATGATAAAATGAAGAAAATAACTATGTAAACTTCCCACCTGTAAATAAAGATAATTGTTTCCCTTGAATTTATTCATGTCTTCATCCCTCTTTATTTCCACTTAGGGCAGCTGACATATAATACTGTGATTTAAAGTAAACATAAGCAATTTAAAATTAACTCTCTACTCTAAAATGTCCAACTTACCAGGATGATTGGTCTTGATATGTGACTTTATCAACCGATCTTCTGAAAAAGACTTTTCACAGACAGGACAAGAATAACTCCTTTTGTCCTTAACAGAAAGAGAGCATAATCGATTGACTGTCTCATTTAAACCCAGGCTCTGTAAAAAAAAGTTGTCACCACCACCAATGCCATCACTATCATCAAAGCTAGACACACAGTGCACCTTTGCAAGCACGTGTCATGCAGCCTACACCAAGCCCAGCACAACCTGGGGTGGGGGGCTCAAGAGTGGTATGGGAATAGGGTCAGTTCCATTTCCAAAGGGAAGAATGGGGCTTACAGATGAGTACTGTGGTGGTGTCTGGGCCAGTAGAAGGCAGGGTTCAGGTCTACCACACAGACCAGCGCTGCCCATGACCGACCCAGGGTGGGCAATGTCCTTAATGCTCCCTGCAAGGTATGCCTGTGGGTTTTGCAGATGCTACTGTACTGAGACTCAAGACCACTCTTGATGGACAGGCATTATTATGCTCACTTCACAGATTAAGAAGCCAGGGCCATGGGCAGTTAGCCCCAGGTCTGAGAGGGAGAGGCAGCCCACCCTGGGCTCCTCCTACCACTCCAAGTTCCATGCTGGCTTCACCAACCCAGCTAACCACAGTGCTACATTCTCAGTTAGGGGGAAGCATGAGAACTAGTACAGGGACACCCACCTCCCTGACGTGGAGATGCGAGGCCAGCAGGGGCCATCTCAGGCCTCACCACTTTGCAGAGCCAACAGGAAGTGATGTACCTTGTAAGTGACACTACATTACCAGCCCAGCAGGAGGAAGAAACCCACCAACCCTGGCCCCACAACAACAGCCCAGCCAATGAAAGCCTGTCACAATTCAACCAATGAGAAGCCTCTACACTTGAAACTCCCAGTTTCCTCCAATGGACTCTTGGTTCATAGGAACCCCTCTCGATCTCTCCTTCCTCTATAAGACTGCTCCTCTCTTTGCTCTCCTTGTGGTTTACCGGGGTCTGCATCCCCAGAATTGCAATTCTTTGCTGTTCCTAAATAAACCCATTTTTTCTGTTAAAATAACTGACAAGTTGTCCTTTTAAGGCTAATAGAAGCTTTTGTGAATGATTGAGCTCTAGCTTTTATTAATCTGCCTTGTCTCTTAGGGCTCACTTTAGAGCTTATTTCACATGACAATTTTTCCCAGAGGGTGGGTGTTTGGTTTAAACTGTACCCCTACAAAACTCTTATGTTGAAGTCCTAACCTTCAGTACTTCAGAATGAGACTATTTGGAAATGGGATCGTTACAGCTATAATTCGTTAAGATGAGTCATTAGGGTGGGCCCTTATTCAATTGACTAGTGTCCTTATGAAAAAGGGAAAATTTGGACACAGACATGCACACAGGGGGAAGGCCATGTGAAGATGAAGGCAGAGATCCTTCATCATGTGACATGTCCACAAACCAAGAAACACAGAAGATTGCTGGCAAAATACCAGAAGCTAGGAGAGGAGTGGGACAGATTCTCCCTTGCAGCTTTAGGGAGGAAGCAACCCTGCTGACACAGAGGCCTCAGACCCCTTGTCTCCAGAAGTATGAGACAGGGAGTATTGCTGTTTAAGCAGCTTAGCATGTGGACCTTCATTTCAGCAGTCCTGGGAAGCTAACACAGCAGGTGAGCTGAGACGAAAAAGGGCAGCAGCTGGATTCGCCCATGTACATCAGGTAGACAGCAGTGGGAGAAGTGGCAGTGAGCACCCCAACAATGGACTGTGCACGAGGCTTCCTTCTTGTTCTCACCTTACACGTCCCCGCCAGAGGAAACGCCCAGATGAGGCAGCATCAGTACAAACTGGTCAAGCAGAGAAACAGCCAGCAAACCCACAATGAGCTCTGAAAGCATGGCCAGTAACAAGCTTCACAAGCCTGCATCCTACAGAGAGCCAAAACCTGGTGGGAGGGATGCATGCCCAGATGAACGGAAAACAAAAGCAAGACAGTCAGGAGCCATGACTACAAGGCAATGTTCTCAGCCACATAGGTTCCGGAGGATGTTAGCCCATGCTCGCTTGGATTTACAGGAGGACTAATCGCTGCCACTTACTGGGCACCTACTGTGAGCTCGGCATTGCACCAAGTGTTTTCCATGTCTTAGTAAATGAATACAATCCTAACAGCCACCCCAAAACACAGCCTACTCATACTAATAAATAGTAACAACAGCAATAGCTAAGCTACCATTTCTTAAGAACTTACTGCATGTGGATCACTGTGTAAGGTGCTTTATATACCACAACCTATACAGCATTTAAGAACCTGTCAGAGGTCACACCACCACAGAGAGCAGAGCTGGACAGCAAAATCAGCCCTTTGAACTCTAGAGCTCTTGCTCCTGTAGCACAGTGACTGGAAGTACAGACTCAGGGCTCGGAGTCCCTGAGTTCAAATCCTGGGTTCACCACTTTAGCTGGGGAAGTTTGGGCAAGTAACTTGTCAATGCCTTAGTTTCTTTATCTGTAAAACAGTAATGAACTGCCTCCTTCATAGGATTGCTGAAGAAAAAGGAGATTAAAAACACATAAAGTGAACTTCCAACTTCTGGTCCAGCATGTAGAGGCTTGGGTCTCCAATCCATCCCAGCAACAAATAAAAATTTGAACAAACTGAAAAGCAACAACTCTTCTTGATCTGTGAGAGACATGAGGTCACAGGGCAAACCATTGTCCCCAAAACTGGAGAGACTGACAGGTGAATACAGAGAATGACAACTTACTGGAGCAAAAACCCACTAGTGGAAACCTCCCGGAGAACCAGGACTGAGACAGGGAAACCAGAACTGTAACTGACAAATTGCTGGAAGCCCATTGTGGACAATTTTAGGATACAAATTCCATGGGGACCCAGACTTTTTGAGTTTTACCTCCAGAGCTTGACCCTGTTCTCACAGTGAATATCAGAGAAAAATGGTCTTGTGCCTCTGGCAGATAGAGGGAAAAAGGAAATACACCAAAGCAGTCTGTTTTTCTTAACAAGGCCTACCCTCAGAGGAAACTAGTAACCAGAGCCTAACCTACTGGGGTGTTACCAGAGCCAACGCTACCTGGGAGAAAGGAAATACCCACACCCACGCCTCTTTAACCATTTAAAAGGGGAGGAAAAAAGTAAGAGGAGAGTGGAATGAAATATTTAAAGTGTTGAAATAAAGAAACACTAGCCTAGAATTCTGTACCCTGCAAAATTATCCTTCAAAAGTGAAGGAGAAATACACTTTCTCAGACAAACAAAAATTGAGGGGATTTGTTACCAACAGACACCTTCTTTACAAGAAATGTTAGAACAAGTTTTTGAGAGAGAAGAAAAATGGTAGTCAGGAACAATCTACAAAAATAAAAGAAGTGAAGGAATAAGTGAAAGTAAAATAAAACTTTATTTTTTGTAATCTTAATCTAACAGAATGTTTGTTCAAGATAGTTAAGAGCAACAATGTGCTCAATAACACATGCTTATATATAAATGTATACTTACATATAAGTGAAATTAATGTCAGCAATAATACAGGGGCTATGAAGAACCAATTAGGATTTTTTTTTAATTATAAGGTACTCACACTTCCATAAATTGGAAAAGTGAAAGCAGACTGTTAAAAAATGGACTTGGATTAGTTGTAAATGTATACTGCAAATTCTAGGGTAACCAGTAAAAAAAAAAGTTAAAAAGTAAGTGTAAGTGATATACTAAGTAAGGGAAAAAAATGGAATCATATAAAATACTCAATTACAACTACAAAAGGCAGGAAAAGAATGGATAATAAAAGAGACAAAAGATAAGGGCAACAAATAGAAAATAGTAACAAATATGATAAATATTAATCCAACTACATCAATAATCACTTTGAATGTCAATGATCTAAATGCACCAATTAAAAGACAGAAATTGTCAGAGTAGATCGAGAAACAAGATTCATCCATATGCTGGCTACCAGAAACCCACTTTAAATCTGAAGACACATATAGATTAAAAGAAAATAGAGAAAGGTATACCATGCTAACACTAATCAACAGCAAGCAGAAGTAGATTTATTTGTTGCAGACAGACCAAACATGAAAACGAGCACAGTTATCAATGATAAAAAGGGGGATTAAATAATGATGAGGTGGTCAACTCTCTAAGAAGACATAATGACCCTTAATATATCCGTGTCTAACAACAAAGAGTCAAAATACATGAACAGAAGCTGATAGAACTTCAGGAGAAATAGATGGATGCATTATTGAAACTGGAGACGTCAACACTCCTCTATCAAAAATGGACAGATCCAGCAGACAGAAAACCAGGAAGGACAAAGTTCAGTTCAACCACACCATCAAGCAACTGGGCTTAATTGACATCTATGAACTACATCATCCAAGAGCAGAACACACATTCTCAAGAAAAAATTTTTAAATATTTTGAACTAAATAAAAATGAAACTACGACTTATCAAAACCTGTGGAAAACAAGGAAAGCTGTGCTTACAGAAAAATCTATAGCATTGAATGTATAAATTCATTCATTCATGTATATTAGAAAAGATCAAAAGTCAATCATCTAACGTCCACCTTAGGAATGTAGAAAAAGAAGAGTAATTTCAGACTAAGCAGAAGAAAAGAAATAAATAAAATTTAGAGCAGAAATCAATACAACTGGAAACAAGAAACAGAGGAAAAACAACAAAACTAAAAGTTGGTTCTTTGAAAAGATCATTGAAATAGTAAGCCTCTAGTCAGACGAAGAAAAAAGAGAGAAGATACAAATTAATAATATCAGAAATCAAAGAGGGAAAACACAGATCCCAAGGACATTAAAAGGACAGTAAAGAAATACTATGAACTACTCTACACACTCTATACCCACAAATTTGATAACCTAGATGAAACAAACCAATTCCTTGAAAGACACAATTTGCCAAAACTCACACATGAAGAAATAGACAATCTGAATAGGCCTATTTTAATTATTAAAGAAACTGAATAAATAATTAATAACTTTCCAAAACAAAAGGTACCAGGCCCAGATGGGTTCACGAGTGAATTCTACCAAATATTTAAGGAAGAAATTATACCAATCCTCTACAGTCTCTTTTAGAAGATAAAAGCTGAAACTCATTCTATGAGGCCAACATTACCCTAATACCAAAAACAAAGAGATTATAAGAAAAGAAAATTATAGGCCAATATCTTTCACGAACATATATACAAAAATCCTCAATAAAATATCAGCATATCAAACCCAATAATGTATAAAAAGAGCTACAAAACCCCAACCAAGTGGGATGTATCCCACATATGCAAGGCTGATTCAACATTCTAAAATCAATTAACATAAATCCATCAGATCAATAGGCTAAGAAATAAAAATTACATGATTATCAACAAAAGCAGAAAAAGGATCTGATAAAATATACCAATTCATGACAAACAATCTCAGTAAACTAGGAATAGAAAGGAATTTCCTCAATTTGATGAAGAATATCTACAAAAAGCCTACAGCTAATATCATACTTAATGGCAAGAAACTAGAAGTTGCCTACTAAGATTAGAAACAAGGCAGGATGTCCCCTCCCAATACTCCATTTTGACAGTGTACTGGGATTCCAGCTAATACAGTAAGACAAGAAAAGGAAATAACAGATACACTTATTAGAAAAGAGGAATGTAAATGTCTTTGTTTACAGATGACATAATTATCTATGTAGAAATTCTGAAAGAAGAGACAAACTCCTGGAACTAGTAAGTGATTATATCAAGGTTACAGGTTATAAGGTTAATAAACAAAAGCCAATTCCTTTCCTATATACCAGCAATAAATAAGTAGAATTTGAAATGAAAAACACAGTACCATTTACATTAGCATCCCACAAAATGAAATACTTAAGTATAAATCTAACAAAATATGTACAAGCTCTATATAAGAAAAACTATGACACTCTGATGAAAGGAATCAATGAACTAAATAAGTGAAGAGCTATTCCATGTTCATGGATATGAAGATGCAATATTGTCAAGACATCAGTTCTTCACAACTTGATCTGTTGGTTCAATGCAATCCCAACCAAAATCCCAGCAAGTTATTTTGTGGATACTGACAAACTGTAAAGTTTATGTGGAGAGGCCAAAGATGCAGAATAGTTGACATAATATTGGAGAAGAGCACACTTGGAAGACAGACACTACTCAACTTTAAGAATTACCATAAAGCTTCAATGATGAAGATAGTGTGGTATTGGTGAAAAATTAACAAATAGACTGAGGAAACGGAACACAGTCCAGAAATAGATCCATTTAAATAGAACAAACTGATTTTTGACACAGGAACAAGTGCTGTTCAATGGAGGAAAAATAGTTTTCTCAAAAAATGATGCTGCAACACATGGAAAGCCACATGAAAAAAACAAAAAAACAAATCTAGATACAGACTTTACACCTTTCAAGTATTAACTAATAATGGGTCACAGACTACATGTAAACTGAGAAACTATAAAAGCCCTACAACACAAAGGAGAAAACCTAGATGACCTTGAATATGGGAATGCTTTTCAGATATAACAAGAAAGGCACCATCCATAAAAAAAGAATAAGTTAGATTTCATTAAAATGTAAATTTTCTATTCTGCAAAAGGCATTGTCAAGAGAATGAAGAAATAAGTGACAGACTGAGAAGATATTTGCAAAAGACGTATGTGATAAAGGACTATTATCCAAAATATACCAAGAACTCTTGAAACTCAACAATAAGACAATGAACAATTCAATTATAAAATAAGCCAAATACTGAAACAGACAGCTTACCAAAGAGGATATACAAATGGCAAGTAAGCATATGAAAAGATGCTCCATATCATATGTCTTAAAGGAAATACAAATTAAAATGAGATACCAACCACCAAGAGGATTAAAGATGGCAGCGTGAGAGGCGAGACAGGCTTCCTCCTAAATCCACATATAATATGAAAATATAATTAATACAACTAATCCTGAGAGAGCAACAGGAAAGAGGACTGTGCCAGACTACATACACCTGGAGGAAAGAGCAGACCTCATGGAACAGGGTAACGTATCAAAGCTGTGGCACGGTGGGACCCAAGCCCTTCCCACACCCCACCTCACCGGCATGAGGAAGAGAAACTGAGCAGGGAGAGAGTGGAGGCCTGGGACTGCTGAATACCTAACTTCAGAGATCTGCTGTGGGAGCACAAACATACACTTCATGGTGCTTTCATGATACTCTCATGATTACAGGGTTGGAAAGCTAACGCAGGCAGAATTCCTGGAGAGACTGAGATCCAAGCCACTTGCAGAAAGCAGGATGCATGTCTGGCTGCTCGGGAACAAAAGCTGATACCTGTGGGCTCAGCCCACTGGTTCAGGCAGTGGAGGCAGGCATAGCAGCCAGGAAGCAGGAAACAGCTCTTTCCTTCCCCCAGGCACCAATACCACTCCCCCACGACCCTGACACTGCTTCAGGGGCTGAGTGGCGCCAGAGAGTAGAGGGTGCAATATACAAATATGAAATGCCAAAGGAACCTGGTCCAGAGTAAAATTAATATAACTCCTGAGAAAGATGACATGGACCTCAGGACTCTTCCTGAAAGGAAGTTCAAAATAAAAGTCATTAACATGCTAATGGAGGTACAGAAAGATATTCAAGAATTCAGGAATGAATTTCGGTCAGAGATCCAATTGTTGAAGAGGAAAATGGAGGGTATTAAAAGCAAATTGGATACAGTGGAGGAGACGATAAATGAAATAGAAACTAGAGAAAAGGAATACAAAGCAGCTGAGGCACAGAGAGAAAAAAGGATCTCTAAGAATGNCTTAACAGAAAGAGAGCATAATCGATTGACTGTCTCATTTAAACCCAGGCTCTGTAAAAAAAAGTTGTCACCACCACCAATGCCATCACTATCATCAAAGCTAGACACACAGTGCACCTTTGCAAGCACGTGTCATGCAGCCTACACCAAGCCCAGCACAACCTGGGGGGGTGCTCAAGAGTGGTATGGGAATAGGGTCAGTTCCATTTCCAAAGGGAAGAATGGGGCTTACAGATGAGTACTGTGGT